TGGTCTCCATCATTCTCACAATTAACTCCAAACCAACCTGTTTGGCAATCACATCGATAGCTACCAACTAGGTTTCTACAGTATCCTATGAAGAACAAGAACACAGATTTGTTAAATCTCAATACCATATCAAAGAATGCAGACATATTGATTGATTTGGATATAACTTATAATATGGGTGAACCACTGATGTTGTCAAGATATTAAAAAAACAAAAACATCATGAAGAGTCAGTTTTCACATCATATTTGGTACAGAAACTGCTTGATAAAATTCACTTTTTACTGTAAAATTAATTTTTACTGTTTTACAAAGTTGAATGTAGGAAAATATAGGAAAAACAGTAAATTAGCTGGACTTTGTTTTCACTGAATCATCCCTTCAGCGAAAATAGCGTAAATAAAATATTTTACTGTAGTATTGTGCTTTCAAACTGATTTTCAAGACAAAGGGGTATAATAACTTAAACATTTCTGTCATAATTGGAAGTGATCAGATTTATGAGTAGTATAATCACCTGGGTTTGTATCAAAATGTAACAAATATATTGGCTGAAGGCGTTATATTTAGCATTTTTAACCCTAGACAATGGAATAGCATAGACTCAAAGATGGTCACAGTAAACAGAAATTCCTTTTACTATACTAGTACATGTAAACACAAATCAGATATATGGTTTAAAAAAAATGAATAGAGAATTCTGTGGTTCAGTAAAGCTTATACTGTGACTTGTAAAGATGGATACATATGCAGATAATTATTATTCAAGATGACATAGCTTATAAACACAAATCAGATACATGGTTTAAAAAAAAATGAATAGAAAATTCTGCGGTTCAGTAAAGCTTATACTGTGACCTGTAAAGATGGATACATATGCAGATAATTATTATTCAAGATGACAGCAGATGATGTCGTTATTAAACCACTGATGAAAAGTTTTACACATCATGTGTAGCAGCAAACAAGTTCGTAATTATAATATTACAGCCTGAATATGGATATTTGGACAGCAGACTAATGAAAATTGGCTAATTATTATGCAAATTAGGTAATTAATATACACAGTATTCACCTCATAACTATTCAGGAATGTATGTTATCTTTAAAATAGTGCATCTAGGTACCAATTTTTCGATTGAAATTTGATCTGAGTGGTTCTTAAGTTGAACATACACAGACAGAGTAACCACAAAGACTTCCATTATATGCTTGGCATGCAGGAATCAACTCACCTCCATTTAAGCAAGGACTACTGCTGCATTCATTGATGTTATCAATTTGACAGTTGGGTCCAGTGAAACCGCTAGCACATCTACAAGTGTAGTACTTGATACCATCGCTGCAAGTACCGCCGTTTAAACAGGGATTGCTTGCACACTGATCACCATCCAACTCACAGTTCAACCCATCAAAACCATCAGGGCAGTCACAGCGATATGCACCAAGCAAATCAGTACATATACCTGAGTGAGAGGGACAAACAAATGCATATAGGTACCAAGCCATGAATAAAAGCTCATATAAACCAAAAATTGTGTTTTAAACTAGAACAATGAAATATGACGTATTTCCCCCATTACACACTTGTAATGTACATGTAAGTGTATACTATTCATGTATGTACTTCAAATAAAGCAAATACAGTAGATATCTAATCTGAACATCAATTGGACTGTGAAAAATTGTTCAGTTTGTAGAAGTACTCCTCCGATTGTACAAGTGTGATTTTTAAAACTGATTTATAGAAATCGAATGGACTGGAACGTAAGTGGAGGTTCCAGTTTCACACAGGTTTTTTCTATACATAGGCAAACACCAAGCATGTATGAGATAACTAGCTCTTTATATGCGACGAACATTCCTATTGAAGTTATGTGAATTGCAAAACAAACCAGCACTAATGCAAATGAGTGGGGCTGTGAAAGAACTGGTTACCCAGTAGTATTCAGTCTGGTTTTGCTAATGTCCCTGCATATTTGCGAAGCATGTATGTTTTTTCAATGGGGTGATGACTGTATTCTGTGTTGTCATGGGACAGAAATAGATTAGATTGATGTATAAATAGAATTAAACTTGTGTGAAATGGGATTTTTATTGCATATTGTTAGACATAGATATTTGCACATATATATTGCACACTATTATATATAGTCGTGTACAGTGCACACTGAATGTAATTATTTAAAAGTTCCTTTCATCCCCACAACTCATTAACTTCTCAGTACCAGTAGCTGACAGTACCATTAACTTCTCAGTACCAGTAGCTGATATCAAATGATATTGCCAACCTCTCAAGAAACTTTAGCTGAGTAGACTTTCAAACATGTAGTTATTTTAAAGTGTCTTTAATTGAACAAAGGTTGCATGACAATGTTCACTGGTTCATGTATGATGACAGAACTACATGGTAACATGAAGCAGTATTCTTTAGTGTGTTACAGTGTCATTGTAACAATATTTCAATATTTGATCTTGTAGAAATGTACTTTTGAGTTTATACAAATTTATTCACTATTCATTGTTCTTAAGTTTGTCTGATTTGCATATTCAATGACAGTTTGAGCCATATTATGATATTCACTACACTTAGAAAGTATAAATAAAGCAGTCATGTGGTTTGAAGTTCAGTACTGTGGTAGATTTTGCTTTGAACAGCAGCTGGGTGGTTTGGGCCTGGTCTGACGGTTACACGTAGTCGGGCACTTCGTGGTGAGTGATTGCACCCGTTTCAAGATACTTTCACAGCTTTGCCTTCTGCCTTTCCGAAAGTCAACCGGTTTTGTTCACCAGCATCTACGAATGCACCAACAGGTTGTGAATTGGTCGCTTAAACTACATGAAAATTACAGCCACCTTGACTAGTGTACGCCACTTCTAAGTTACCAAGTCTACGCTAAGAAGTTCTACAGCCTACTTCGTTTCCAGTGTGAACAATGAACTGACTGTAGTTAAGAAATTCACGTATAGCAAATAACATTTATGCCCACCATTTTACGTTAACTACCACAGTGCTCAGCGAATTTGTATTTGTGTATTTAGCGCTTATTATGTAATTAATTTTTGGGTATATTATTATAGTTCATTGATGTTCTGTAGATGCGAACCATACGCCCTCTGGTATTGCATATATATATATTCTATCGAACTTCAATAAACGAGTACGTTCTATTCACGCATATACGCAACTCTGGTTTGTTTTGTCGATTGTTTGCGCCACTCTGATTGACTACACTTGATCGAGCTACACTTGCCTCTTCCCCACGTGACGGTAGCACGTGACAATCATATTTTGAGTAAAGTGGCCAAATATATTTATTTTTAGAAGGGTTTCATAGAACGGTACATTTCATAAAATGATACGGCAGCAAAATAGCATTGTTTATCACTTTACAAAACAATGATTTTTTGATCTAATCAGATATTAATTTTCCCCCCATTTTCAACAATTTGAGATATGACATAATACCCTCATCATGGCAACCAATAGTAAATCATTCTAATACTGAAAAAAATGGTCACCATTCACTCGAAAAATAGCAAAGTTCATTGCAAAATGAATGTACATTGTGTATTTTGAGTATTTGCATTTATGAGTATGTTTACCTTAAGTACTACATCCACGTACATAAGCTCAGACAGCGCTACATGTCAATAATTTTAACTTACCTCCATTGAGACAAGGCCCACTGCTGCATTCATCAGTATCCACAGAGCAGTCAACACCACTGAAACCAGTGTAACATTCACATAAATAGCTACCATAGTTATCAATGCAGGTTCCTCCATTCTTACATGGCCTTGTCAAACATTCATTGATGTTCATTTCACAATGGGTTCCTATAAATACATCAAATGTTATCATCAGTCGTATAGCATAGCATGATTCCTAGAATTGTCTGGTAATTACTGTACTGGTAAATTATTAAATTTCCATAGCTAGAGTTCATAATTTGCTGACAAGTACAGGATAAAAATAACTTTCTAAATCTGGCTGTGTTCTACTGAGGTGACAAAAATTACATATTTATTTAGAGAAGTGTACCTCAAACTACAGGAATAAACATACCTTCAAATCCATTAGTACACACACACTGGTAACTGGCTATACCATCAATACAGGTACCACCATTTTGACATGGCTCACTGAGACATTCCACAGATTCCATCTCACAGTTGCCACCACTATATCCAGATAAGCACTCGCATTCATATCCATTATCATTATCCAAGCATGTACCGCCATTAGCACATGGAATGCTGGCACACTCATTTATATTAACTGAGCAATCAATACCTGTAGAAATATACAACAATGTTATCATGGTTGTTAATAACAGAAATGAGAACATTCATCATTTTATGCATTCATTCATTTACATATTAATGCCATGATCAAAATAATTTGTAAAATACCATGATCAAGGTAATTTGCATAATGCCATGATCAAAGTAATTTGCATAATACCATGATCAAAGTAATTTGCATAATGCCATGATCAAAGTAATTTGCATAAAACCATGATCAAAGTAATTTGCATAATGCCATGATCAAGGTAATTTGCATAATGCCAAGATCAAAGTAATTTGCATAATGCCATGATCAAAGTAATTTGCATAATGCCATGATCAAAGTAATTTGCATAATACCATGATCAAAGTAATTTGTATTAAGCCATGATCAAAGTAATTTGCATAATGCTATGATCAAAGTAATTTGCATAATGCCATGATCAAGGTAATTTGCATAATGCCAAGATCAAAGTAATTTGCATAATGCCATGATCAAAGTAATTTGCATAATGCCATGATCAAAGTAATTTGCATAATGCCATGATCAAAGTAATTTGCATAATGCCATGATCAACGTAATTTGTAAAATGCCATGAAAGTCAAAGTAATTTGTATTAAGCCATGATCAAAGTAATTTGCATAATGCTATGATCAAAGTAATTTGCATAATGCCATAATCAAAGTTAATTTGCAAGCTATGATGTGAATATTAATCAGTGTTAAGTACTGGTATTTTTCAGTTTTACTTCTGACACCATATTCTGCCATGAGTGTATTGTACCTATAGTCAAAGTTATTTCTGACAGCATAGTTCTGGATGTTGTAATGTCCCATCATTAAGCACTTGACTACTCTATTGGAGGGTGGAATTTCCTAATATAGGCTATACAATGTTTTGGACAAGTTTTGTCTACAATAGATGTGGTTGTGCAAATTTATAAGAACTCAGTGATCAAACAGTCAACTGACATCGCATTTCACAAAATAAACCAACATATTTTTTTTTTACTTTTTTTCTCCAAGATTTTTGATGGAGATCCTGTAGCCAAATAGAAATTACAACCATTTTGCTGAAACTAACAAAGACATTTCTAGAAAATTCATAGAAAATAACCAACAAATTTGAAAGGAAAAATGATGGCAAGCATAGCAAGTATTACCTTCAAACCCAGCAAGACAATTACAGGTATATCTATTGATGCCATCAATACAATCACCATTATTCTGACATGGGGTACTCGCACACTCGTCTATATTTGTTTCACAGGATAAACCTAAAATAAAAACATGGCAATCTGATCATTTTATGCACATGTACATGGTGGTCCTGTTATGTTTAACCTTACCTGAGGTTTATCACAATTATCATATTCTTAAAATTTGTCCATGTCCATTCAGTAAAGATGATGCTGAAGATATCCTCATTTAGAATTCAGAATTTCAGCCTCAGGTTAACAGATTGGTTTTTTGGTGAATATCCTTTTGAACAATCTTCCCATAACTCCATTGTAGTGTATGACAAGGTTCTAGCTAATTCCACACAGAAATGATTCCATGTGTGTAGATATTTAAATCTGAATCTGAAACTAACTTCAGCAACCAGTGTTTTGTAAGAAAGATTGTACTTGTATATCTAAAAAAATCCAAGAGAAAGACACTGTATAGAACAAAAGGTTGAGAGCACTGTTATCATAAATCTGACCTGTGTTTCGTCTTACCCATAAATCCACTGAGACAGTTACAAACATAAGCACCAATGAAATTCTGACATATTCCACCATTCTGACATGGGTTACTCAGACACTCATCTATCTCACTGCCACAGAGTACACCTACAAAAAACAGGACGAGGTTTAAAGACAAATCCAGAGTGTATTCAACATAGATAATGGAGATTACATTATTGCTAGGAAGTTTTTAACACATGTAATACGCATTATCTTGTCGTCAGGGAGTAATCAACACAGCTAATGGGTTTTAACTTGTTGCCATGGTCACAGGGCACATGAAATAATGCCTTCACATTTGTTTTCTTGTTTTGGTTTTGACTTCAACAACAGTATTTCTTTTGAGAATAATGAATTACAGTATTTGTTCTATTAGTAGCACATGTGCTAATGTAAATGACACGAGGTATGTCAAAGGGCAAAATAAGTCATATTTTTAATGATCCAGTATACAATACATGCAATTCTTGGTTTACATTTACTTCTATACTGTAAATATGGTAGGCATAATTATTTATACCATTTTGTACTTTAACTTGAACTTAGACTTAAAAAAATCACTGC